CGACAAGGACGGCTTCTTCCATACGGGAGATGTTGCCATTCTGAAGGATAATCATTTTTACATTGTAGATAGAGTCAAGGAGCTGATCAAGTACAAGGGTTTCCAGGTAGCTCCTGCAGAGTTGGAAGGTTTGCTGCTACAGCATCCGCAAGTGGCCGATGCGGCCTGTATCGGCGTCTACTCTAAATCTCAAGCTACGGAATTTCCCCGAGCTTACGTGGTGCCCAAAGAGGCGTCTAGGTGGAGGGAAGAAGAAAAGGCTAAAGCATTTGCAGAGGAGATTGTGAGCTGGGTGAATGGCAAGGTGGCCAACCACAAGAGGCTTAGAGGAGGCGCAGTCATCGTGGAAGCTGTGCCCAAATCCCCTTCAGGCAAGATTCTCAGGAGAATCTTGCGCGATCAAGCCCAGAAAGAAGCCGATGCTGCTGCTGCTGCTGCTGCATCCTCCTCCTCCTCAAAGCTGTGATGGATGAAATAAGCAGCATGAGAAACATTGACACATGGCCCCTCACACGTCCTCGCGCATGCCCCTTCTTTTGCTTAATGTCACGACCCCTCCCCTCCCCTCCCGAATGGAGCCGCGGTACGCACGTCTTGCCGACTTGCGATTGGTGTGCGATCTGGGGTGATGTGATTTTGATCTGCCGATGCGATCCAGCCGTTCTGCACGACTGCCAAGCAAAGTCCAAGTGATCCGTTGCGACGCTTTGCCAGGCGAAGTGCTGAGTGTAAGAGAAATGTAAGAGGGTAAAGGGGATAGCATTGCATCGCATCGCATGACTCGAAGGCGGATCACAAAGGAACCAAGGTCAGTCCCAAACTCGGTCCTGGCTTTTCACTGGCCCAGCGCAAGGCGGCATGGAGAAAATTCGAGGTGGACGAGAGCTCTAGCGGGCCTCACTGCGCAAAGACTTGATTGATATTTGCCGCCTCCTGCGGCGGACGTAGGATAACAAAAAAGGAAAAAGGAGAGCCAAATGTGAGCTGGTTGCGGGGACCACCCCTCCCTCAACGTGGCAAGCGCCCAAACGGATCCGAACACGCCCGCAAGCACGCACCGCTTCGGCCTCCTCGATGCCTTTGCGAATATCGGCCACCTCGGATGCTTGTGCAGGTGAGCCATCTGACGTTTCTGCCCGCAGCCTGTTGATCAGTCTGCGGGGGGGCCGTGGCGGAGATGTGGGAGATCAGACCAGCGTTTCAGATGCCTGCTGCTGGGACGCGCAGATTTCGCACCGACCATCGCGCACTCACCTGATACCATTGACAGCAGCCTTGAACTTGTGCTTGGCATTGAAAGCCTTCTTCATGTCCGGCAACAAGTCTCTCTGGACCTCTGCAGGTCTTTCGATGCCCTCCGAGAGCCAAGGGTGCTCCAAAGCCTGCTTGGCTGTCAATCGAGCTTGAGGGTCAATAGTCAAGAGCTTGGTGATGAAGTCTCTAGCTTCGGACGACACATCCGCCCAGTACACTGCCGGCTCGAAGGAGTAGTCGGCGTTGATGATGGCTTGCATCTCCTCCATTGTGCTGTCCCGATCAAAGGGCGTGTAGCCGCAGAGCAAGAAGTACGTAATAACGCCAATCGCCCACATATCTACAGGCTTGCCGTGTCCGCTTCAATATCAAGACACGCAAGTTGGCGATCAGCCTGGTCATCGAAGCCTCACCTCGAACATTGTGCACTCACGTTTTTTTGAAGATTTCCGGAGCCATATAGCCAGGTGTACCACAAGTGGTGGACAAGACTGTGATCTTTTCGTCATCGACCACTCTAGACAATCCGAAATCAGCAATCAACAAATCAGAGTCCTCGCTCTTGTCGCGAAACAAGAGGTTCTCAGGCTTCAAATCTGTGCGCAACAAGGCAAGGCGTAAAAAGGCTGCCTTTACCTTTCGACCGCGTTGTCCGCCAATCTCACCTCTGTGAACAATGCCTTGGTTGTGCAAATAGACTACGGCTTCGGTAATCGTCTTGACGATGTGTGCAGCGTCTCTTTGGCAAGCAAGGGCAGGAGAGGTGCACGCTTAGATCGAGGTTCAAAAGAGCTGCTCTCATGTCCTGACTCACTTTTCGTAGTAGCTACCACGCTCGCAGATCCTGTCAAACAATTCGCCTCCTACGCAAAGGTCTGTCACCAGATACAGATTGTTCATTGTCTCAAAGTAATCCACGAGGGTGACGATAGACCGATGGCCCTGTGAGAAGGGAGTCGAGTCTCGGAGGGTGAGAAAGGCCTCACCTTTGCAGCAAGAATGGCCAAAGCCGAGTGCGCTGACACAGGCATTCCAAGCTTTGCCGTGAAACTCCTTGAAGAGGCGGGCATCGACGCATACGTGCAGCCAACGAGGGCTGCTCAAACGAGTGGCTAGTCGTCTAGCCATGGCTGTATCCAGCGTCCGATGCGGAAGAGCGCGACGCTGCCTCCTAGCTTTCTCCAAGTCGAAAGCAGTGGCTACCGTAGATTGGTTGCCTCCAGTCTTTGGACTAATGGCCTGGGCGCCAATGTAGGCCATACCCGCCTTTTCCCACTTTCGTTTGTCCCCTCTTCATGACTCACCTGTGATACCTTTTTGAGCGCTGCAATCTCATTCCTGACCATGTGCTCCCTTCCCTCCATCAACCTCTTGCTGATGACTTTGCAAGCATAGTACTTTCCCGTACTGATATGCACTGCCTCCTTGACCACAGCATAGGTGCCTTGACCCAACGTTCTTCCAGTCTTGTATGCGCAAGGAACCGTTTGAGGTGCGCCTCCGGTGGCAGCTGCGGCCGACATTGTGATCGCTGCGAGCAGTCTGGATGTGACCGAGGACCAGAAAGAGTGGAAGGGAAGATGAAGAAACTGATGAGGATGGGCGGTGTAGATCGCCTGACGGGCCGTTTCTCCCGTGTCGTCTTGATAAAGCAGATTCGTCAGACGCAAGAGGAAAGCCAAGAACAGCGCGATGTGTACGGATAATGTGGTGAAGCACAAGACAGAGGAGATGCCATTCGAGATGGCTCAAAGTTGGAAAGGTTGCGAGGCTGCGAGGCTGCGAGGCTAGATGGCAGATGGCAGATGGCAGATGGCAGATGGCGCGAGCAGCCTAATCTTGAGCGTCAATCACAATGCGCTCGCGCTACCCTCTCTCCATCATGCAGTCCTGTCTACAGTACCACGCTCTCTGCGCCCAGGCCGAGGCGTCATTGCATGTTCATGGCCTTGCTGCATGTGTGCGCGGTCGTGCGGTAGCTTGCCGCCATGCCTGCATACAGCATGCATACCGGTACTGTACATGCGACCGCAAGGTCACCGCACGCGCACACCCGCACACCCGCACACCCGCACACCCGCGCAAAAGAAGCGCAAGTCACGTCCTCACGATACAATCACGAATGACGATTTCTCTGACCCCAGCAGCAGCAACGCGGGCCTCTCGGGCCTTGAGCAGTCGTGAGTCTATATAATAGCGAGCAGCGAGTGTCGAGCGCGGAATCATAGGCAGTTTGGTTCACGATTGGGGTACACAGCGCGTCTAGGAACGTCGCTTCGAACGCGTCTGATGCGTACGTGCTGGCCAGGAGCTGCCTGCCTGCCTGCCTGCCTGCCTCACACTCTCGATTTCCGCGATATCTTCCCCAAGCTCGTGACCGCGTTCCAAGTACGCTTGCACTCGCGAGCTCTTGAACCGCTGCACCCGTGCATCGATCTCTGCAGCTGCACAGGCAACAAATCAGCCTGCTGCTGGGCCTCACTCATCATGCTGCAGACCCCCCAATGGGCCCTCGCCTCGAGGGGTGAGAACAGGCCTGCTGCCGCGTGCCTGCTGCATGGCCATCCTCCATCCCACGACTCACGACTATTTGCTCGCATCTCGTCTCGATCCAGCGAGGCGTACGTCGAGGCGGTGCACTCTCTGCCTGCTGTGCCTGCGCCTGCGCCTGCGAGACATTTTCCCTTCTGCCTCGTAACTGCCGACGGCTCAATCAACCACCCTCTGAGCGCAGATCGTAGATTGCAGACCACGCACACGACTCGTCTGCAAAGACCACCTCAAACACACCTCGCATCAGCGCTATGGAGGTCAGGCGTTCGCTCAAATTCTTATTTGTAAAAATGTGCTGTCGCATCGCATCGCATCGCATCGCATCGCATCGCATCGCATCGCATCGAGCCGAGCCGAGCCTCAGAAAGAAAGCGCGGGGGCTAGTCACAACGGGAGGTGTGGGTATCATGATGAATGCGGGGTGTACTGATATTCGAAGTCTTCATCGACCTTGGAAGACTGACGTGATGATGACCATAAAGGAGGGACCTTGTGACAGATTGTGCGCGTATGCTTGGACTCTTGGCGAGAAAGAGGGCGAGGGATGGCAGCTCGCAATATTCAGCTGTGCTTGACTGCCTAACCTCTCCTGATGAGTGTGTCGGTCATTTGGACGTGCGCGAGTGATGTGCATCCTCAGCTCGAGGACCGATGCAGAACAGGGGACAATGTATTTGATCCGAAGATTGAGGAACCCAACGAGCCAGGTCGGGAAGGTCGGCTCGCAAAGGGCACTTCGACGCTTCATGTGCAGGTTGTGACGAGCGAAGCGAGCGCTCAGCTCTGTTTACTTTGGTTGAGTGGTGAAACATTGCGGCGAATGTTTTTAAAAGGCGCTTCTTGTCGAGGTCATAGACGCTGTCTTCAGCCAATGAATCTGAAGTTGTCTGCCTGCACGAAAAGTCTAGCAGCCCAAACTCCGTCAGCTGTCGCACAATTGACCCCTCCGTCCGGGACAGGTGCGTTGGTGCCATGTGTGGGTTGAGGTGTCAAGAGGAAGCTTTGATGGAACGTTCTCGGCAAGGCTTCCAAGGGTAAGTCTTTGATGCTCGATCCTCCCGCAGATTTGGGCGCGTTTGTGGGAGCCATGGTAGACGCTGATCCTGGAATGTGATGCGTCACTACGCCCGTCACTGTGATCATCACTGAGGGTGCCCGACGAACGCCTGTACCGGTGCATCGATGGTGTATGATTGGATGCATTCAATGGTCAGCGTGGGTCGGGAATTTTGAGAACGCGAGAATGTATGCTTCGAGACTACTCTGATGACCAATTGATCTTTACGGTCATGAACCCTTGAATGAAGCTCTTTGAGAAGTGTGCTGGGAGGCAAACCGGCCCACAGGCGACCCGCGCCCGCCTCCAGACCCTCTCGCCCACCAGACGCACAACGAGCAGCGTCTAGGGAAAGCCGACCGCTCGAGCGTGTTCTGATCAGCCTTTGATCTGCGCCGCGAGCATGCTGCCGAGTAGCTGAGCTACGCCAGACATGCCCATGCGCCACGAGCACGCACAAATTGCCCCTCTGCTCTGGTGAAATCAGAATGCCAAAGCAAAGAGGACGATCTTCGGCGATGCGATGCCTCCGAAAGGCTGCTTCGAGTTCCAAGCGTACCATTGATGCGGGAGTATGCATACTACCACCCTCTTTGCTGTACCCTCCAACACGTGTCCAGACTTTTGACACGCAACACACTTTGCTCAGCTCAAGCGTGGAGCTGACGGGCAAAGCCGTCAGAGCGGCGCCTGGCTCTGGTGAAATGCCCAACAGACTTGCACCTACTCACCATTCTCCGTACCTCCTCCAACTGGGTGCGCATCAAAAGCCTGCAACTCGTGCTTTGACCCCGGCATGGCAGCCAAGAGCTGCACCAACTCGTCCTTCCCACTGACGGGCGTCCCATTCCACACAATCGTCGAGTTTGGCAAGTACAAAGTAGGAATGAGCTATTCCAGGAAAGTCGATCGACAAGAGGCGGGAGGTGAAAAGACAAAGTGAGCCAAAACAAGAGCAAATCCTGTGAGCGGCTTTCCATTTGCTCGAAGGGGGAGGAGCAAGTCCTGCAAACTTTGTCGGGCCTAAAACTCACACCTATCCTCTGTGGAGAGTCTGTAGCGGCGTAATAAGCAGATGCAAAAGTCTCTCCGGCCTTGACAGCAAACTCTATCAGGCTCCTCTGTTCGCTCTGCCCATCGTTGCTCGCAGCAGCAGCTCCATGTTGTCCCTGCGCTGCCTGCATGACGGTAGGTCCCGCCATTGCGCAAACGAGGCCCAAAAGGCTTGCAAGAAAGCCGGCTGCTACGTCCCACAAATTCCAGGGGTGTATGCGTCGAGCGCTGCCTTCGTTCTCCTTGCGTTGCCCGTAAGTGGGGATCCTGAAAAGCTCATCAAGGTGGTAGGGCAAAGCATGCGAACATGATATCGCATCCACGAAATCATCCAGGACGTGGAAGGGACTCAAATCATGATGCCGAATCGTGAATCTGCATGCGTGTCACGAAACGACTTTTCGCGCTTCCCGCACGGAAGAAAAGTCGTGACTGCGCGTGCATGCCTGTTTGAGGTGTGCGCGTTTGATGTGCCCGCCGTATATTGCTCATTCCATTTGGACCGTCACAAATCATCCGTCAACATCGACCGCTGATGGTGTTCGGTGTAGATGACACCTGCAAGCCTTGGCGCTGAAATAAAGCTCCCAGGCAAGGTCACAAGCAGCCACGAGGGCCCATCCCGCAGTGGTATGACTCTTTGCGCTCTGATAACACAGCATCAAGCCTCGACCTCACGATGACCAGACACACGCTTCACATTTACTCGGGCGCCGTCGTCGGCACTTGGCAATAACACTAGACAAAGAGACGTTTGCAGGTGAACATGGCCCCTAGAGCTTGGAAGCGCTAATGTCCGCAGGCGGCTTGGAGTACAGAGCCTTGATGTCAGCCTCCAAGATCTTTCTAGCCTCTGGTCGCTTGAGCTTGAACGTAGGGGCTAGGTGTTCGTGACGAAAGCGAGTTAGTCAGCAGGCGAGCGAAAAACGCAGCTCCTAGCCTCATCTCCTGACCACTCACTCAGTGTGCCCTCCTCGATGCTGAAAGGGGTCATGCGCAGCTTCAAAGCGCGAGGGAATTCAAAGCCCTTGACCTTGTTTCGCCTGCCCACAGTGACCAGGTCGTTGAGGAAGGAGGCGACGACCTTCGGGTCTTGGCACGCTTGCTCCAGACCTTGCAAGTCGGCTGCAGAGAGCTGCTTTCCGGTAATCTTGGACGCGAAGGGAGCGAACGCTTCAGGGTCTGGCACAGCAATCGCAACCAGGTGTGCTGGAGTGCAGAATATGGAAACCCGCCTCAGCGTCAGCGCTACTGTGCTCGACAGCGTGCCTGGTCCCTCGTCTCAACATCGCTCACCCTCAGTCGAATCTCCGTAGAGCCACAATTGAGCGGCAAGCTTCGAGGAGCTAAAGATGCCCTCGACGTGCTCAATAGCGACGTACTCTCCCTGAGCCAGCTTGATCAAGTTCTTGACTCGATCAATGATCTTGACTCTGCCTTTGTCGTCGATCAATCCCACATCACCAGTGTACATCCAGCCCTCTTCGTCCAGCGTCTCTCTTGACTTCTTGTCGTCCTTAAAGTATCCTGGGAAGACGGACTGACCGCGGGACAGGATCTCGCCGCGAGCGAACGGCTTGTCCTTGGTCGTGTAGCCCAACTCGGGGCAGTCGCGCAAGCGGACTTCATGGCCAGGAACAGGTGGGCCGCAAGTACCCAGATCCTTGTCTCCGGGATGCATGAGCAAGCAAGATCCCGCATTCTCCGTCTGTCCGTAACCCTCGCGGAAGTCTGCACTCAAGGCCACACGAAGCACCTTGAGTACATCTGGACGAATGGGCGCCGATCCGGAGACGAGCTGCTCGACCTTGCCACCCAACACGGCGCGCACCTTGCGGAAGACGATCCGGTCGTAGAAGGCATGAGTCACGTCACCCGTCTGGTCGTGTCGAGCAATCTTTGCGTTCAAAGCAGCTGTCAAGAGTTTGCCTGCGGGTGCGAAGCGCGGCAAGTCTTAGCTGAGACCGCTACACATCGCAGAGTCGTCCTGCGCTGCGCTTTCACCCACCTTTGAGACCTCCGCCATCTGCTTGTGCTTGGATTTGAGCGGCGATGCGGTTGAAGACACGAGGCACACCAGGGAAGAACGAAGGCTGGAGGACCTGAGCATCTTCCGTAAGGCGTAGCACATCGCCAGAGAAGTATCCGATACTTCCTCCATTGCGCGTGACGAGTGCCTCAAGGATTCTTTCATAGATGTGGGCCAGAGGCAGGTAAGAGATCATCTTTTGAGGCTTTGACCAGTAGAGCGAAGTAGCAGCACCTGCGTACGCAAGTTGCTTGTGCAGCACGATCGCAGCTTTGGGCTTGCCCTGTAGGCATCATCATCATCATCAAGGCATATAGCTCAGCCTGCAGCGAAAAGCGGACTGTACAACAGTCGGGCAGCAGCCGACTCACAGTGGTTCCGCTCGTGTAGCAGAAGCTGATTTGCTCCTCGTTGCTCTGAGGAGGGGTGTGAGCCACCAGGTTTGCCTTTCCAAGCTCCACAATCTTGTCCCAGCTCGTGAGGTTGACGCCTTTGCTAGCCGCCCACTTGGCCAGCAGTTGGTCACGACCTAGCTCTCCAGGAGCGCTTGCAGTTGGCGCAGGAGTGTCGAGGGTAACAATGAGCTTGACCAAGGGTATCTCGCTCGCGTTAGCGAGAAGCGTGGGGACATGTGAGGTGGTCGTGAAGACACACTAGGATCGTTGGAGTCAAACGTCAGCAATGTTAGGCCTTGGGGCGTGCAAAGAATATAGAGGAAGCGAAAACTTACTCGAGCCTCAGAGTGTGCGAGGACGTAGACGGCAGTCTCTGTATCGTAAGAATCGTAGAGGGAAACCGTCCTGCGAGAGTAGGCGGCAGCAGCGTGTTCCAAGATCTGGAACTCTACATCGATCCAAAGACGCAGCCCACGGGGAAGTGAGCGGGCGGAAGTGTTCGAGCGAAAGCGAAAGCGGTCGCTGCTGCTGCCGCTCCCCTTTCCCACTCACCAGGCCTATTCTGCATCCAAGCGCCGCAAGTCCACTGCTTGTCGGGTACGCCCTGTCCAAGCTGACCTTCCTTGGCGAGCTTTCCGAGAGCGCTTCCAACGGCAGTGCGAAGCTCCTCCGCCTGGGCGTACGTCAGCCACTCGAATCTGCGCTCAAAGTCCTTCTTGGCTGGGTTCCACGGGCGGATACCGAGGTAAGGGGCTTGAGGATCACGATCCCTGCCCACAGCGAAGACGTCATACATGGATTCCTGAGCAGCGAGCGAGATTAGATTCGAAAGTCAGCAGCTTTGCGGCATTGAATGCCCAGCATTGGCGCAACACCCTCACCTGAGTTGTGAACTCTGGAACAGCGGCATTTCGGAAAATGGGAGTGTGCCCGTCTTTCTCCGTACCTGGCACTGGCACGGCCTGGACATCGAGGGGCCAGCTGTGCGCGGAACGAAGATGGATCAAAAGGCAGGCATCAGCGAGAGTTGCGCAGTGCTGGCAGTGCTTGCGCACAATGCAAGCTTGGCACGTGTGCACGGATGCTCACACCTTGGGAGGCTCGGGAAAAGTAGAAATGACCATCTTGTGCTCCACGGAGTGTGACAAGTGGATGAAGTCGAAGTGTGTGGCAAGGACTGGAGAGAGTGGGTGGAGGGTAGAGCAGGGCGAGGCAAAGATGCAAAGTGCGAGATAAGATTGGCTATGGCGTGGTTGATTGGGAGAGATGAAGCCAGTGTGATGTGAGTGTGAGTGTGAGTCCGCCTGACTTGCTAGTTAGCATGGCTACACAATCACGATCGGGCGAGTACAACAGCGTTGTAATCAAATAGGCGGACGCGGGGCGACGTTGGCCGCGCATCGCAGCGCCAAAAGTATAGTCGTGAGTACAGTGTACCGTACTGTATCCATGCATGGCACCACACAGCCGGTGCACCTCGGCCCGGGAAACGGGGCAAGCGACCGGATTGAGACGCTGCACCGATTTCAGCTCATGCAGCATCGCACTCACGCTGACTCGTGACGACTATCCCCCCCTCAGCCGAACTCGCCCAAGCACCACGCACGCGCCCTCAAATCGTCATGTCTCGCGGTGCAGGCATCGCTCCTTGATCATCGCGAGGTCGCATGGCATACCGGTACAGTACATGCAGTATGCGAGCACACACGCACACACACGCACACCGGCTGCTTACCGCACGCGCGCGATCGATGGCCCCGGTCGGTCATCATCATCAACCATTTCAATTCGTGATTGGGGGCTTGGAATATGCTGCCGAGCCACGAGCAAGACCCGAGTAAAGACCGGCTTGACCGCTGCCTGCTCAGTGCTCCCAATAGAAGTCGCAGCGCGTGAGCCCCGTATATATGTTTCGCGTATCAAGATGAAAGCTCGCGGCGGGCTTGTAAAGTCTTGATGAGAGTCTTCAGTGGACACTCACCCACGACTCGAACATGACTGCCACGGCCCACGCATGCTTAAAGCGGCGCGTGTGCGTCTCTGATGCTGCTGCTGCTGCTGCTGCTGCTGCTGCTGCTGCTGCTGCTGCTGTCACTATATAGGCCGATGCTGCGTCTGCGTGCAGTGGTTGTGGGGGTCCAGCACTCTTGACTGACGAGTCGTGACTGCATGCGAATCGATCGAGAATGGAGAATGATGCAGGGGCGCGCAAGCCACTCCTCGCGAAGAAAGCTTGGCCAGCATGGCCTTGGGTCCTTTGCAAGCTCTATTCGTGATTCAACCCCATTCGCAATTCCTCAGATATATCCGGCTTGGCCACGTACTACTGTACCTCCTCTTGCTTCCTCTCACCTTGACTTGCCTTCACGACTGCTCTTCAGCGTGAGTGCGGCATGGCGAGCAAATCACAAAGTCCATCGTGAGTGCGGTGAGCTTCTCTGGGCCAACGCGCTTCGTGTCTGCAAGCTGCCTCCTTAGCTGCACCTCGGGCATCGGCCACGCTTCAATCGACTCAGTCAGAGGCCGGCCAGTCGCGTCCCACCACCACCACCACCACCACCACCGAACAAGCTGCAGCCTAACTGCAGTCCCTGCCCCCACACAAGCCAAATCAATCTGACCGACCGACTGACTGACTGACTGACTGACTGACTGACTGACTGACTGACTGACTGACTGACTG